TCTACGGAGTTACCTAGAGAATTAGAAAAATGTTGAATCAGCTTTCCTGGATTCACAATGAAACCCCCAATATTTTTTTTCCCTTGAAGAGACACACCCTCGAGCCCCTCTTAACAATCTCTTCTGTGTATTCTGTCACTTTGGGCTCCCACCCCCTGATATTTGGGGAGCAAGACCCAGAGCTCTCTTTTGAATCACATCTGCTCTGGTTGGGATCAAGACCAGCAGGCAGGGGTGAGCAGTTAGGAATGCTGATTTTTTTTTTCTTTGTAAAGTGCAGAGTGTCCAATTGCGACTGATGTAGGAAGGCAGGTGAGCACCCCCCAGTCCTGGGATCCAGGCGAGGAGCCCAGACCAGACAGGGCCCAGGTTGGCCTTGGTCTGTGCAAGGCTGCCATCATGTGGCCGCCGCAGGTATTTCTCTCTCTTAAAAAAAAAATACTGTCCAGGGAGCCAGGGCGCCCAGGGGCAGCTGGGTTTGACCCAGGTCTGAGCTTTCTGATGTGTCTCTTCGGTGCAGATACCCTTATTCTGCCTCCAAGCCGAATTTGGGCTCAAAAAATGCAGATTGATTTCAGTTGAAGGAAAAAAATCAGGCTCTGAGGGTCCCATCCAGGTCCGAGTCTTCTCCAGGGCACCTGCTGAGCCTGATCTGAGCCTCCACCCAAGGGACAGAGGTGCATGGACCACTTCCCGAGAGGCTGAAAGGCCATTTCTGTTTGCATACTTTAGCACAGATCAAGAGAAGACAAGTCAGCCCCCCCCCCCCAAGGAATGCTTTGTGGGGGGCTCTTCTTGTAGGAAGAAGCCCAGGTAATGAAACTTGGAAGAATCCACCTCAAGGTCTTAGCGTTAGAACCCAACAGAACTTAGAACTCGGGTCACCAGGCACACACATTCCAGAGAGAGAGAGGGTTCTAGGCACAAAAGTGTCCAGAGCACATTTACATGTTGACTCTGCCCTGACCCCAGACCCTTACAACTGCTTATTAGGAGACACCTACAGGTAAAAGGGAGCAGCCCAGAGAAGACCAATCCAGGCAAGTCCCCATCTGGGTTCCCTTCTGTGTGTGTATATGCAGGGGTGGGGGACATTAGTTGCAGGGGACCTACAAGGACAGAATTAGATTATTTCAGGACCTGGGTGGTAGGGCGGATATCTAATTATCAGATTCTAGTTTTTCCGACTCAAATATTTATCCAAAGACCTTATTCTGGGACCCAGGGGATGGAGGCCCTATATGCACAGATTCATCTCTATCTGATCTGAGTAGAAAACACTCCCACGGGAGTGTCCCCTGGAGAGGCAGCCAGGATGGTCAGGGGGAATTGTTGCCCTACATGGAAGGCAGACTCTTTGCAGAGCTCCCTGGAGACCGCCAAAGATCTTCTTGTTAATTCTGTCTCCTTGAAGGGAGAGAGCAAGGAAACCCACACCACCCACCGTGGTATATCTCTGGTCTGAGGTTGGCAGAGTCGTCTGGGGAAGGATCTCCCCAGGAAAGAACTGGAGATGCCCAGAATAGACCAGAACAGATACCCACGTTGGGGACTTCCCCTCATCTCTGTCTGAGAACTTTGACCCTTGAATGACCAATATGTCCATTCCCTTAAATGCTAACATCCTTACCAGGAAAATTTTGACACAAGAAGAGAGTGTTGTACAGACAAAGAGGCACAAGGAGCCTATGCTTTTTAAGACTGTGCCACACCACAAGTCTCTGTAGTCCCATCAGACAAGGAGCTGTGTCTTCTTCACCTGCCTGCAGAATATTCTAGTAAGAAATGTCTTTTCCTGCAGCAGGTCAGCCTTTCAGTGCGGTTGAAAGGTGATGGGATCCATCTGGACCTTCATTCAGCCAAGGGTCAGGGACAGTGTATGGGTATCCTCCTGGGCTGCATCAGTGTCAACAGGGCTGTCGTAAGACAATGCCCCAGATAGGGTCCAACGGACATTTATTGGTCCTAATAATAGAATTCGTGTATCAAGGTGCTGGCTGGAATGATTTCCTTTGAGGCCCGCTCTTTGGCATGTAGATTGGCATCTTGGGTCTCCATGTTTGGAGGGGACACAATTCAGCTGGTGACATAAACTAATCTCCTGCTGAACACAGACTCCCAGGGAATAGTGACCGAAGGGACACACACATAACCTTTTAATTGCTTCAGCCGGATTATATCACAGAAAGGCTGCTGAAGTCCCGTCATCACAAGAGATCTCTGTTTGTAGCTGCTTCTCTGCAGCCAAGATCCCCTGGGTGTTGGCAAGGAAGGGAATAAAATCATCCTTGTGGCAAATAAAATCACTCTGTTCTTATTTTTTTGTTTCCAATTTCCCCAACTGACAAGCTTGCGTTACCTCTCAGTTGATTGACAGCCATTTAGATTTTTTTTTTCTTCCCTGAACCATATGCAGATTGGGGTCTGTGATTGTGGTCTCCAAGCATTTGTGAGGAACCCGGGTGGGACAATGCAGGGGGAAATGAGGGTCAGGTCACTGAGATCTGGAAGCCAACCCTTTATTAGTGTGGCCATGATGCAGAGGGATAATTCCCAAAGTCTGAGCCCTGAGCACACTGGAGCGTCTACTTTTATACATAAGCAAGTGTGAGGCTCATCAGGGTCACAGAGTTGGGGCAATAGCATTGGGGGGTGCAATCGACAGTCCTTACATGGGTACAAGCTTTGTCAACCACCTAGGGACTCTGAGCTCATACCTGCTTAGGTACTTTTACTGCATTAAGACGAACAGGGGATTGTTCTGTCCCATGGCTTCATCTCCTGTGGTTGTCTCTCTCGGGGACCTGTTAGCCACTGTGAGCCTCTATGGTTACAGTGTCAGGGAGCACAGATGCTGGTAGGAAGTGGGAAAAGACCATGGCCCCTCAGCTTTAAGTTCCCATTTTGCTTAACCACAGACAACTGTTTCTGAAGACGTCCCTCCCATGAAATAAAAACAGTCAAGTCAAAGGGACCTCCTGGGGTGTCTTCTCCAAGCTCTTTCTTCAAGATGGGGAAGGAACCGTATTTCTCCAGGTGGACATTTCCTCTATATTAGGATCAAACCAGACTTTGAGGAGCTCATGAATGGATCGACCCTGATTCAACTTACTACATTTTCAATATCAGCCTATATTTGGATGTGTAAAAGGGGGGGGGATGTCATGAATTCTAGCAGGGGGTTTGCCCTTGATGTAAACTGAGTCAGGATTCCCTGGATCCTGAAAAGGGAAGCCCAAGAGGACTCAGATATATACGAGACGGTTCTGTTCCTATTATACTAGGTAACACATGGGACTGGATTGCATTTATATATACATCTCACAAGTCCTGCTTTTCTGAATAATTGTCACTTTGCAAGTGGGAAGAGAGTAAGGAATGTTGCAAGCGTCTTGTGATCTGGCGGAGGTGCTTTGGCTTTGCAGCCAGATACAGCTCATCCTGAATCCCAACCCCAGCTGCTTATTAGTTGTGGGACTTTGTCCACAGAAGGAAACAGATTTTACAAAGGGCCGAATAAGAAGTTTGTTTTTAGTGTATTTAAACAGCAGAGTCAAGGCTGTGGACAGAGAACAGGACATGTGTCCCCAGATCCCTGGGAACCTATCTTCCTTTGGGTGCCCATGTCTGCAATGAGAAAGAGCCTGTGACCAGCCCCAGGTGGGAAAGCCTTTTCTGATTGGAGCTCCCTGCTGTCCCTCAGGTCTCTGCTGCTCTTTGGGCCTGGGGAGAAACCATGAGCAAGGAATTGTATCCCTCCCCTCTAGCACATAAAGGGGTTAAACTAAGGCTTACATCTTGGATGTAAGGGGACCCTCAGTTCTCAAATTTGGAACTTGGCTGCTGTGTTCAGATATGCTGGAGAGAGAGAGTCAGATTTGAGGGTGTCATTCAAAAAATACAAATACTTCATTACTAGTACTTAGTCACATAAAGGTAATATTATGGCTCTATGGGGTTATGTTATTAAAATCAATTTCAGCTGCTTCTTTTTTTAAATTCTTCTTATTTTTTTTTAGCTGTAGTTGGACACTATATATATATATTTATTTATTTTTTATGTGGTGCTGAGAATGGAACCCAGGGCCTCATGCATGTGAGGCGGGCGTTCTACCACTGAGCCACAACCCCAGCCCTCAACTGTGTGTGTGTGTGTGTGTGTGCATGTATGTGAGTGTGTGTGTGTGTGTGTGTGTGTGTGGTGCTAGGGATCCAACCCAGAGCCTCGTGCCTGCCAGGCGAGCACTCTACCAACTGAACTATATATCACCAGCTATGTTTCTTCTTATTTTTTTAAAATTTTTCTTCTTATTTTTTTTAAAAATTTCTTTTTTAGTTGTAGATGGACACAATACCTTTATTTTATGTATTTATTTTTTATGTGGTGCTGAGGATCGAACCCAGGGCTCTACTAGAAAATTCTAAATTACTCTTGTGCCTTATGTATTGTTTTCATTGGACATTGTTGCCATTTATTATTATTATCATTATCATTATTATTATTATTATTCGTTTTACTGACATTGTTGCTTTAGAGGGTTGCTTCCCAGTTCAAAGTTCAATGTATCGCCCAAGAAGACCAGAGAACAGAATAGTTAAATGAAAATTTTTACAGTAATTTTCATTTTTTAAAAAAATTTTTATGAATAACCTATAGACGTATAGAATCCATAGATTGAAAGGACCCACATATGCAAGGTTCAAGCCAATGTCCTGCTGGTTGGGCTCGATCCTCCTGCTGGGAGGAAATGGTGACTTAAAATAGCAGCAGCCTGAGGCTCTGGGGTGCAATTCCCAGGCCTCAAAAGAAAAAAGAAAAAAAAAACGCAAGCTGCAGCCCAACCCTGCCATTCCGGCCTCCTTCTTGCCTGGAGCGGATATCACCCTCCTGTCACTCAAAAAGGAGCCTCGCTGGGCTCGGGCTGGGAAGAACGATGACTGACGGACGCCCTGTCCAATCAGAAGCCCCCGTGCTGAGCGCTGTCCAATCCTGAGCGCAGCCAGCGGAGCAGGGGGGCGGGCTTCCGCGCGCTGGGCTCACGGCCTTCCTCCGAGTCCGCCATTCCTGCCGCTGGGCTCCGGGCTTCCCTCCGTGCGCCCAGGATCCCCGGGTGGCCTCTGCCGTGCAGAGGCCGAAGCTCCCCAGGGCAGGCTTGGCTGCTGGGCACCAGGAAATGGTGAGTGGGCAGTGGCACCTGGAGCCTGCACGGGCAGGCTGGGGAGGGAGGCCGTCCTGCTGGACCGGCTGTGGCGGGAACCCGACCCCGACTCCGGGCGGCCCTCTGCGGCCACAGGCCTGAGCCCCTCGGGGACAGCGCCCCTCAGTCCCCCCTGGCCAGCCGGGTGGGGAGCGTGACAGTGGCGGAGACCCCTCGCGGCCTCCCCATCCGGCTGCTCGGCCTCTTCCCGGGCTGGGGTGATTGACAGGTGAGAAGAGCCTGCGCGTGCCGCCTCCCAACGCTGGTTTTCCTGCAGCGGGGGGCAGCTGTGGGGCACAGGGTCCTCGGTTCGTCCTAACCGAGGCACTTTTCAGTTTTACTTCCTTTGTTTTCTTTTTTTTTGGGGGGGGGGGCAGGGGGGGGTTTTCCCCCGCGGCCCAACCCCCGGGGGTTTTTTTTTTTTTTTTTAAGATTTAATTAGAGACCAGAGTGCAGCTAAGTTGCAGCGATTGGCCTTGTTATGGTTTGATGCATACCGACATCAATTGCATATTGCAATTCAGGGATCTCATTTGGACATGCCCAAGATTCACCTATGGATTTTTGTTTAATATTGTGATTATTGTAATAGGAAAGTTTCATCATATATATGTGTCAGGGGATGATCACGACTTCTTTTTCTTCTTACCATTGAAAGGTTTCTTGGCTAGATTTACATATATTTAACTTGGTGGATGAATTTGGGAACTGTAGGCTTTGGTTCCTTTCATTCAAAACAGACTGATTTTTTTTTTTTTTTATTAGTGTATCATAGTAATGCATAATATTCAGGCTCATTTTCTGGTTGAATCCTAGAAGCATGGAATATCATTTGCTCCACTTCAGTGTACATCCCTTTTCTCTCTCCTCCTGTCTTCCTCTGTCTTCTATTTATTTAGAGTTTTTAAAACTACTGCTTTAGGGGCTGGGGTAGTGGCTCAGAGGTAGAGCGCTTGCCTAGCATGTGTGACGTACTGGGTTTGATTCTCAGCACCATATACAAATAAATAAAATAAAGGTCCATCAACAACTAAAAAATATTAAAAAAACCCTACTGCTTTATAGATGCACATAGAGGTAAACATCACTGTGATGTAGTCATATATGTACATAGATTTTTTAAAAAAATTTTTTTTTAGTTGTCAATGGACCTTTTTTTTATTTATTTATCTCTGTGCAGTGCTGAGGATGGAACCCAGGGTGTCACGCATGCCAGACAGGCGCTGTGCCACTTAGCCACAACTCCAGCCTGACATGGTTATTTTGAGGGCAAAATAGTGTAAGTTACTTTTGGGGAAAAAAATTATCTTTGTAACGATGAGTTTTATCATCTCTACGTGGGCTGGGTCACTGTCTTTTATGTGCTTGTGATTTTATTTTCTCATAAGTGCATATAGTCTTTTTAAACCTGTGTCCATGGGGAACACCACACGCATATGGCACCTATGTAAAATCTAAATATGGTGTTTTATACTATTTTTTTAAACTGGATATATTGTGACCAAAATTATAGCTGGCCCCTAGTGACCATTTTTCCCCACAGTTCATTATTCATGACTCCCAAAGGCACATTCTCTTGGACTAGCCCTGGGTTTCACGTGTCTGGATGAGTCCTGCTGTGTTCCTACCTGTCATTGTGGTCAGATGTGCTGCAATTTCAGTGTGTCTCTGTTTCTGTGGGGGAGTATCATGGATCTTTATTAGCATCTATAGTTTCCACTGACAGATAATAATCACCTCATCTCCCTCTTGATTTTACAAGAATAAATTTGTTTCATATCTTCATCAATACTAATTCTGTCTAGGGTGGGATTTCATTTAACATTTCTCTGATTTCTAAAGATGTTGAATTTTTTTTTTTTTTATGATTACTGAATACTTCGACGTCTCCTGTATAAATGGGCAGTTTGTTTCTGGCCTGCGTTTCCTTTGTGATTTCTGGTTTCAAAGATTAGAAAAGAGATCCTAAGAGGCAGGTTCAGGGAAAAAAAAAAAAATGGATTTACTTTTGATGATTAAAAAAAAATTATTTCCCTTTTTTTCTTCTCCTGGGTTATGTATTGTAGGTTTCTTGTCTGTTCTATTTTTGGAGGTTATTTCAAGTGGAATTCTAGCTCATATTTATTTTTACAAATACTTACCTATTTTTTTTTTTTTTCAATATCTTGTAAGCCCTTTAGATGATTTTCTTCCTTGAGTCAGACTTGGACTCTGGGCCTGGGTTTTGCTGTTTTCTATAGTCTCCAAGTGTTTGCCCCATCAGGAGTCTGCCTGGAGATCTCTGTTTCTCAAGAGTTCCTTTAACATGAAAGAAGATAAAGCAGTTTATCTTCCCAGTTTTTCTGGGCTGTCTTCTCTAGGCACTCTCTTCAATATGGGGGAGAAATTACTATTTCTCCAGACTGACCTCCCCTATACCTGGAGCAAGCCAGCCCCTGTGGACCTTTGAAAATCCACGAGTTCTGTCTCGGGGTGGTTCTGTGTGTGCTGAGGAGATGCCATTTGATGTCAGGACACCCGTGTTCTCTCATCTTTACAATGGGGATAGTTTTGGAGGACACAGGTGGACAGTGCTGTCACAGGAGCCTACTAATACCTGACTGCTGTGGCCCCCAGCTGATGACACAGCTGTAGACACCAGGCAGATACTCATTATTTAAGTACCACCTGCCACTCAATGGATTTTCTTCCAAAATCTTGTAATGACCTTGACACTGCAGTCCCCCACCCCGCCATGTCATCCATGTATACAAATATAAAGGTTAAGTTCTCCTTGTCTGAATTCCAGATTCCAGTTCTTAGGTGATTCAAGGTGGTGCATCTGACTGGGTGATTCTCCTTGTCCTGCTTTTACTCTGTGTCCCCAATAAGAGTTCTCTGCTTTTAGAGGCAGAAAGGAATATATATAATACATAGTATATAATACATAGTACGTCATACATAGTATAGAATATATAGTATGTAATACATAGTATATAATACACAGCATATAATACATAGTACATAATGCATAGTACATAATGCATAGTATATAATACATAGTACATAATGCATAGTATAAATACATAGTACATAATACATGTACACAATACATAGTCATAATGCATAGTACATAATGCATAGTATAAATACATAGTACATAATGCATAGTATAAATACATAGTACATAATACATGTACATAATGCATAGTACATAATGCATAGTATAAATTCATAGTACATAATACATAGTATATAATACATAGTACATAATGCATAGTATAAATACATAGTACATAATACATGTACATAATGCATAGTACATAATGCATAGTACATAATGCATGGTACATAATGCGTAGTAGATAGTGCATAGTACATAATACATGTACATAATGCATAGTACATAATGCATAGTACATAATACATGTACATAATACATAGTACATAATGCATAGTACATAATGCATAGTACATAATGCATAGTACATAATACATGTACATAATACATAGTACATAATGCAGAATACATAATGCAGAGTACATAGTGCATAGTACATAATGCATAGTATAAATACTTAGTACATAATGCATAGTACGTAGTGCATAGTACATAATGCATAGTATAAATACATAGTACATAATACATAGTATATAATACACAGTACATAATGCATAGTACATAATATATGTACATAATGCATAGTACATAATACATGTACATAATACATAGTACATAATGCATAGTACATAATGCATAGTATAAATACATAAGTACATAATACATGTACATAATGCATAGTGCATAGTACTTAATGCATAGTATAAATACTTAGTACATAATGCATAGTATATAATGCATAGTATAAATGCATCGTACATAATACATAGTACATGATACATAGTATATAATACATAGTACATAATACTACATAATACATAGTATATAATTCATAGTGTATATATATAGTATATAATATGTAGTATATACACATGTACTGTGTTTATGTATGTGTGTGCATAGTACATGTATAGTACGTACAGTATATATGCACTATCGTGTGTATATATGCACATGAACATACAGCATATGTTATATATGTATACTATATGCACTATATACGTAGACGATAGTATATATACATAAACTATACATATATGTATGGTACACAGTACTACATATGCACACACATAGAAATCCTGCTGTTTGGAATATGTATCGCTAACCAACTCCTAAAATAATAAAAAAAGGGTGTATGAGTCATGTGGTGTGGTGGAGGGATTTGGGCTTTCCATTTAAACCCAATTCATTTTATTATTTGTTATTTATTTATTTTGGGAGAATTAGGGAATGAACAGGGGTGCTTAACTACTCAGTAACACCCCCAGCCCTTTTTCATATTTTATTTGGAGACAGAGTCTCAGCTAAAGTTGCTTAGGGCCTCGCTGTGGCTGAGGCTGGCTTTGATCTCGTGTTTTTCCTGCCTCAGTGTCCCCCAGAACCACTGGGGTTTCAGGCATGTGTCACCACAGCTGGGGATACCTTCTTAGTAATTGAACGGACTTTGGTCACGGAGGAAGGAAATGTCACAGACTGGCCGTTAGGTCCAAGGCCAAATTACAGAATGAGGAGTTTAATGCATTTAAGTGATGGTCTCAGAGCTGTGGGTAGACCTGAAGACATGGGCCCCGCCATCTTCTTTTCCTGCTGTCTGAGACCTGGAATGAAGGGGACCAGCATTTGGTGGGGAAAACCAACTTCTGGAAACTTTCTGGTTAGAGCTTCCTGTTCCCACCCAGGGCAGTGTCTCTGTTGTTCCTTGGACCTGAGGAGAAATACTGGTAAAACTGTACCCCTCACCTCCAGCATAGGAAGGAGCAGTTGGGACCTTCATCTCCCCAAGGTCGGAGGGACCACAGCCCTGAAATCTGGGATGTGGTTCTGCGAACTGAGATATCGGGAGCCTTGACGTGTCACTTCTGAGGGGACAGTTCCAGCA